AATTTAGAAATTGTCGCTTTTTATTTTTGTCAGACATTATCTAAGAAGTTGGAGTAGTTCCGTTTATTCAAGGTCCGTTTATTCAAGGCATCTAGGCACAGACCGAGACGTTTATGCATGAATATTTGGGCCAAAGTCCACCAGCCACAGCGGGTAAACGCGTAATATTCAGTAACTGCCGACAGGCAGTTAATAGCATACTTAAGGGTTTAAATTAGAGTCATCTCATAATAGAGTGACTAGTGCGGTCTCGGTTAAAGCGACTGTGTAAGCCATGTTTCCGGAACAATTTGGGCCACCCCTATGACGATTCCCTCTTGTAATTGCAATTATCAAGCGATTACCTGAGAAAAGGGATACAGCGAAATGTTACCATGAGTGTTTTGTCGATTTAGCATTCATTAGTTTTACAGTAGATGTGCTAACTCATGAAATGTCAACCAAAATTTCGAAATGCGTTCTCGTTTCGAAAAGATAAATTAAGTAGTGTTGTAAAACTAATCATGACGCAGCATAAATCTGTAATGATCTAGTCAACTCAGGGTGTCGGCTTTCGAAAGAACTTATTTTCGGCTGCATGCAAGATCTATAGTCTGCAAAAAAGGACTACTTGATTAGCATGCAATTTTCTCATTGATTTTCGATGCCCTTGAAAATTCAATTATATTTCATGGAAAACATGCATAAAAATATTCATTCTTTTACTTATTCGGTAGAACATCACGTCTTCGTCCAACTTCATACTCAAAAGAAGACTATAATTCAGTTTTAAAAAAACCTTTCTAATTCCCGAATAATTTCGAACCCGACCTGCTGTTACACTTGCATTCAGGGTTTCAAAACTACAAGCTATATATTTTCCGTGTACGGAAAACCAAGCATTTCTCTACGGTATTAAGAGGAGACCATATGAGGTTCATAAAATTAAGCAGTGGATTTGAGCAATATTGTTAACTTTACATGCCACATTCGTAAATGCAGATACATGACGTTTCATGAACGGCCATTTAACGGTATTGAAAAATCTCACAATTAGAAACTTTTTTAAAACCGCATTATACTCTTCTTTTGAGTATGAAGTTGGAAGAAGACGTGATTTTCTACCGAATACGTAAAAGAATGAATATTCTTATGCGTGTTTTGCATGGAATATAATTGAATTTTCAAGGGCATCGAAAATCAATGAGAAAATTGCATGCTAATCAAGTAGTCCTTTTTTGCAGACTATAGATCTTGCATGCAGCCGAAAATAAGTTTTTTCGAAAGGCGACACCTTGAGGTAACGGGATCATTATAGATTTATGCTGCGTCATGATTAGTTTTACAACACTACTTAATTTATCTTTTCGAAACGAGAACGCATTTCGAAATTTTGATTGACATTTCATGAGTTAGCACATCTACTGTATTTTCTCAAATATAGGAAATGGTTCATCTTTCTAATGTTTACTCTTGGGAGCCTTATGTTTGTTCTCTGTTTATTTTTATAAAGTATGCCTGTTATTGCGACCCGTCGGGACTGTTTTTCAACTTGTACGCCAAGTGGTTGATTTTGACTTCAGACTTTTAATCTCATTGTTTCCCAGCCGAGGCGAACCTTCACTGCCAGATTTCTATCGTTTATTCGTAATACACAGTCATTAGTATACGCACTATGCAATTATGTATTCTCTGCCCCAGAATATGATCTGTCTTATAATGTGTCCCATCAGGAACGGATATATCAACGACAAGTTTTCCTTGCTGAGGATAACAGTGTCAAACCGCTCGTGTCTGGCATTTAAATCAGCGATATGACGGAATGCATATTTAACTGACCGCATTAACTTCCGCCGTTCGCATTCATTTGTAGGGGCAGGTCGTCCAATGCTCCAGGACAATCATTGCAACGGCTGATCATGTCGACCCAACTTGCAACAAATTACTTCCCTCAGTTTGGCCTGTATTTTCATGTTTACGCTGTCCTCTCTGTGAAAGTAAACTCACAAAAATATTTACTGTAGGGACGCAATCGGAATGTGGCGCCTGCTGCACAGGGGTTTGTAAACATGCAGGCGAAACGTCCAGGAATGAGGACAGTTGTCCGGGACAATAAAGTGACACGTCGTCTCTCTTTGGTTCTGCGAACAGTTGGCTGTTATCCGGACCACTGTTGGCTACTGCATTGTTCGATTAGGTTTCTGCTTACTGCATATCCGGTTAGCGATACTTTAAAGGTCTCTGCTAAGACAATAAATGCCGCTGGGTGTTGAAGAAGGAGACACGATCGCTTGGACAAGAGCTTTATTAGCCTGACGTTTCGGATTCCTGCTCGAACCCCTAATCAGAGACAACAGCAGATACGGGTGGTTCATGCGCAAGGGGCTGCAGTATTTATAGGAGGCAGTCGCCATGCTACCGCATACCTATGAACATTCACGGCTCCCCCTTCATCTGGGATCGTCGCACTTGGTGCGCTAATTGTTTGATGGCCGACATCCGCGTCGTTAACTGCTGCAATCTCATCACGAGCGTTGGCTTTTGGTGTGATGATTGCTCGACTATCTGATCCACAGACCCTGGAGTGGCTAATTACTCCGCCTAGACGAAGTCTCAGCACCCAGTATGGAAGGGGAAGATCATTGCACTTGCTGATGGATTTGGGGGGACATTAAACCATGACTCAAGTAGCTCCCAGCTCACGCGGTTGTCATCTCTTGCCAGAATTTCGTCCTCGTTGAATCTGAATGTGTGGCCGGATCTCGTCGAATGAGCCGCAACTTGAGAGCTGGCGTCATTCCTCCGCACCTCTGCAGCGTGTTCGGCCATTCTCGTCCTGAGGTGTCTTCGACTTTCTCCGACGTTGTTGCTTTGTCCGCAACTGCACCAGATCCGATAAACGACTCCAGACGTTTCTAGCCGTGGCAGTGGGTCTTTCGGATTCATTAACGAACGCTTGATGGTTGCGTCCGGTCTGTGTGCAACTCCAACCCCAATGCGTGTTTTGCGGGCTTTCCCGCTAATGCCTACCGAAATCACTACTGAAAGTGCGGACACAAAATATGTCTCTGTCGTTGATCTGCGTTGTGAAGATAGGGACGCTGATAACAATTGGCTGGCTCTTACTGTATGCCTCTTTCCTGACAACCGATAGCGCGCACTCAGTTTGTTACTACTTGCATGGCATTTGAGAGAGTGGGAAAGAAATAGAGGGATATGTATTATTTTCAAGGTATCAGTCACGATTTTCTACAAAAACTTCGGCATTCATTTTGACCAGGATATGGATGTACAAATGACGCCAGAGTAACTAGATTTGCATAAAACTCGGTATTCCTTATGGGAACAGTTCAAGTCACACTTTCCGTATTTCATTTTCTTTGAACGTAAGCTATCGTGCCAGAAATGGAAATACAGAATGCTAATGTTGCGGTATACGGCAAGAGACACGACGGAAGCAATATCACACGGGGTAGGAGGACTTCGCAGCAGTTAGTTCAGGATGAAGAGGAGGGACGATATCATCCAGAATTGGATCAGCGAATGACTTGACCGGTGTAGTATAATATGGAATAAAATGGCACAAAAAACCCCAGCAGCAGAAGAGAGCATTCGAATGACTCCCTTTAAAATTAACCTATCTGTTTTTAACCAAGGTACTAAAAATAACTGGGGCACAAAAAGAATCAGAGACCGAGTGCAGGAATTAATGAATCTCCAGATTATGTTCTAACGTGTGTACCAGGGACGCAAACGACGAATTCAAATATGGGTTTACGGATTTTAGCGAAAAGGATTTTAATATATAAGCGAGCTGAGAGAGTTAAGAACAGAGCAACACTAAAGCGTCGGAAAGAGGATCCCTCGTTGGGAAGAACGTCCAAGGAGTCAAAAATCACGCTAGACTAATTACAGATTGCTAAGTGGGAGACTATTTTCAAGCAATCGTGCAGAGACGCAATTCAAGTCATCCTTCAAATTTTGGGATAAATCTGATTTTTGACGGGATGTCTAACAACTATATCGTCAGCATACTTAACATACAGGCAGCCATTTGGTCATCAGTATAGAGAATAGGCGAGGGAGTGTAATAGTACCCTGAAAGAAATCCCCTGTTGTTATGAAGAACAGTACATTTTCGCCGCCCTCGTCTGCAAAACTGGCAGACCAGAAGGTATGGACTGCAGCCCGCTGTAGAACAACTAACATTGGGCGCACTCTCCACTTCAGAGGCAACCACCCTGGTGGACACGAGTGCAGTTGTGTCAGAACTCTCCTATGAGGCGCTCAAATTAAACACAGCGATGACATTGAGAGGAAGGCGGAAAAGTGTTTACGTGCTCCGCTTGAGACCAAAGGTTACCCGTGGGCTATCACACGTACGTGTAGCCCCTCATGCATGAACCACCCGTATCTGCTTTTGTCTCTGATGATAGGTTCGAGCAGGAATCCGAAACTGCAGGCTAATAAAGCTCTTGCCCCAGCGATCGTGTCTCCTTCTTCATACATAAGTGTCGCAAGAATCCCCACTCTAGACGTTCAAGTTAGGAGAAGCCAAAATTCTGGCTCTCGATCCTTCATGCGATGAACGTTTTACGCGCGACGTCGGATTGATGCGGTTCATAAACCGGCACCAACAATCCGATTGCACAACACGAGGTCCAATGATTCGCTGTCAGTGACAGATCAATCAACGATGGCATACAACATGTCATTGCCAAGGTCGTGACGCAATGTATGTCGGAGAAACAGGCGAACGCCCGCGTACAAGATTACATAAACGTGTAATCATAATGATGGGTTTTTGCTGACCTATGGCTACAGACAACGGCAGAACTACAGCTTCGTCTTCAAGAAGGAGAATGCGATCGGGCAAGACAACAATAAGACGCCCTGACTGATGCTGGAAAGTGGGTTCACGGCCGGCACACTCAACCGAGCCAAAGACCTGCATCCACCTACCAGACGTCCCGCACAAACCTCGCGTCAGCTCGCGCAAGGCCAATGGGATGGGCGAAAAGTCATGTGTGGCCGACAGCCAACTCCCGCGGAGGAGGAGCCGATTCGAAGTGGCATGACCGGCGTGGCACCCTAGCTCGCCGACGCGTCCCCGAGGACGAAAGCATGGTCAACAACGATTGATCGCTCCGTCGTCTAACGATGGGGAGGCCGGCGAGAACGCTGACGTAGCCGCAACCACGACAGCCGCGATATGGAACACTGACACGCGAGTCATCGAACTCGTAGAGGCTAGAATCAACAGCCAACAGGCAGGCCAAATTACGTGCGTTGAGTATCGGTATACCAGGGGAAAGACGCAACGTCGAACAAACCAGGGCAGGCGCGTGATCCCAACTGTCGTGGTTATAATCTTGCTCGATCGCATTCTTTCCGCCGGCCGGCTGATCAGTTGGCGGCGATGAACGCCATGCCGCGTAAAACATAGAATGCTCGTTAGGGTATTAGCACGTCACACGTATACGTCTGTTCGCAGTCATAACCGGTGGTCTGCACGCCATATTCCTGTCAATAACCTTATGCAGTATAGTAGTGATGTTGTCGACAACCATCATCGCGATTTCTGTCGTCCTTGTCCAGGGCCCTGCTGTCGCAATGCCATTCATCCTTGGCCACAAACGGTTTCGGACACTTTGACCGGCAGCCACTTCCTCGAAATCAGATGAGACAGACGTTAACTCACAGAATCGCACCTGCTCATGCGCCAGGTGAACGTACCGTAACTGAGGAGATGCAACATAAATCACTAAACACAGCACCCCCGATGAATGCCAGACAAACACCAATTGGACAGAACTTGGGCCTGCTTCACAATTCGAGTTACGCAGATATCACCGCATGTTTCTCTCTCTCTCACAGGCACGCGAACTGGACGGGCCAGAAGTCATTTCCGTCTACGAGGATAGCTTAGGGGTCTGTGGGCAAAAACTCCTACATTCTGGTAATTGCTGTCTTGTCCTACAATTGGGGCTTGCACTAACGATTGTCTGAGGAGAATGAATTGCTCACCGGATCAGGGGACTTTTCTGGCTGACGTTTCGAAGAGCTGGGGCTGCTCTCCATTGTCAAAGCGTCAAGTGAAAAAAATCGATCAGCACTTTTTTGAATAGACTGCCGCATTAGTTGGCCTTGGGCCGATCAATTTTTTTCTTCTTTCGCTGCCTTGGCCTACTGGCCGTCGCCTGTTGGTGGCCTCCTGTATTACGTGTCGTCACCTCAATTGGGGTTGGTTGCGTTTGCGTTCCCCTTTTGGGTGAAGTGGTCGACAGGCCGTGTTTACTCGGCATTCTTAGGCTCCGTATGATTGTCTTGTCTTCGTCACGGTATATGTAATGACGTAGGACTTTATAGGCTGAAGGAAGGTCTAGACGACTCTTGATGGAGTTGACATCTGAGTACCAAGCCTCAAGTGTGAGACGCTCAGTCCTTGAGGTGCCCCTGCCTAAGACGGCTGCTCCTTGAAAATCAAAACTGTGACCAGTTTCCCCGATGTGAGCCGCAAGCTGTGAGTTTGGGTCTAGTCTCCGTGTTGCCAGTTTGTGCTCATGTAGGCGGGTCTGCAATTTCCACCCGGCTTCCCCAACGTAGTTGCAGTCTCCCTCCTTACAACGTATTTGATAGACAACTGCTGAGGTTTCAGTGGGTGACAGTATGTCTTTGGGTTGCATCAAACGGCGACGAATTGTTGCCTGGGGTCGATGGGCAATACCTACCCTGGCGGGTTGTAGCAGTCTTGAAACCGCCTCACGGTAGTCTGACCTCATGGGCAGTACACATAAACTTGCCGATCTCGCGCGTGACCCTCAGTGTTGTGGTTGGAATCCTGTCCGCTCGACAGCTGGGCTGCTGGCGAAAACAAACGCTGTGCCAAAGAACACATACCACATACAATGTATAGAATTAAGGCGAAATTTCGAGTTCGAGGTGTATGCATAAGCGAAGAAGAAGATTCGAGCACAGGAACACTTCGTTGATTGTCCTGAGCTTTTAGACTCGTACAGGAGTTCATCATCAGAGGTAGTGGCAGAAACAGGACAAGCGGCAGTTATAAGCGACGTAGGACGAATCATCGACCGACGTCGCACGCCTGGTGTGACTACGCAGGGCTCTGTACGCCGGCGCCAGATCGATAAATCGATTGACCGAGTTTTCATCCGAGGCCCAGGCTTCAATCAATTCTCGACCTGTTTTGTTTCCGGCGTGGGCGACTATTTTGGTGGCTGCGAAGTTAAACTCGTGACCCATTTCGTAGGTATGGGCGGGCACTTGTGATAATGCGTCGCCTCGCCGCACAGCCAGCTTATGTTCGTTTATGCGCGATCCGAGCATAGTTTTGACACGGGATGCGATACACTACTCAAGATTGCTCTTCAGGTTTTAACCGGTCTTTGATTTTCATGACCCTGCTGCTCATGGTGGTTTTGGGGCGGTGTGCAATTCCAGCACCTAGCTCCGCAGCAATGCGCTCGGTCGCTTCTGAAACAGTCTTGGTGTAAAGAATGGCTGCTAAGATACTAACACGCAAGAAGCAGACATCCGTTACATGGTCGGTGCGCAATAGATCTGTCCTGCACCTTCTGATTGCACGTGGACCGGTGGCTATCAATAGGTGCGAAGAGGCGAGTCCCAGGAAGCGGTTCCTGCGTTTCAAGTTTCTGACCGCTGAGTCAGACACCACGGCCTCTTCGTTAGCACAATTCCAAATGACATCATGATGTTACGTCCTTTTTACTTCTATTCCCCAGGATCTGGCGATCGGGACCATCGAGCTGCATCTACAAAGCAGATGCGATGAAACCAAGAGTCTTCTTGGACACGCCTCGAAGTTCTGTCTCAGGACGTACTTCAAGTTCGAAGGGACAATCTACGAACAAGTGGAGGGTACGCCGATGGGTTCGCCGATTTCAGGATTCAAAGCTTAGGCGATCCAACAACGGATGGAGTCGCAGGTTTTCCAACACCACAGACGGAAATTCTGGGCCCGGTATGCTGATGATACCTTCGTAGTTATCGGACAGGAGCAACTGTTGTCATTTAAAGAACCTTTCAACGCCATCTTCTTAAGCATGCAACTTACGATAAAGGAGGATGAGAAAAACCAGCTGGCCTTCCTGGATGTCCTGGTATACCGCAAAGATTTTGGTGACCTGTTAACCAAAGTGCTCACGAAAGTGACAAATACGACGCAAGTCCTGAACTTCAACAGCAATCACCCAATCAGCCACAAACGCAGTTGTGTCGAAACGCACCGCCGTGAGCTAGACGACAAGATTGCCGAACTACTATACCTTCGACGGGTGTTTAATGTCAATGACTACCCGCGCGAATTCGTCAACCGGTGCATACGCAAAAGGGACGAAAGGCCTGAATGGACGGACCCCGATTTTTGGCGTGCGATTCCGTATCTCAAAAACGTTTCGGAAGCTGTTGGCTGCCTTTTCGCACCACCTGAGGTTGAAGTTGCACATAGAACGGGAGCAACCATCAGGTGTCAGGTAATGTAACTGAAGGACCCACTGCCACGGCGAGAAATGTCTGGAGTCGTTTATCGGATCTGGTGCAGTTGCGGAAAAATAATTACGTTGGAGAACCCGAAAGACTGTTCCGAACGCGAATGTTCGAGAGAAATCACGATAGCTCTCAGGTTGCGGCCTATTCGAAGAGATCTGGCAACACATTCAAATTCGACGAGGTCGAAATTCTCGCCAGAGGTGAAAACCGGGTGATTCGAGAGCTGCTTGGGTCATGGTTCACTGGTCCCCCTTTATTAACAAGGGCAATAACCTTGCACTTCCATACTCAGTTCTGCGGCGTCGCCTAGGTGAAATAATCAGCCACGCGGGCGTGCATAGGCGTACATCTTTCTTATCGCCAGGGTCGGTGCGTCAGATTCTCGAGCAATCATCACACCAACATCGAACACCCGTAATGAAACGACTCTTATGTCGGCCACCGAACGGTCATCATACCCAGTGCAACAGCCCACTGTGAAGTGGGCGTCCTGAATTCTCATAGGTATGCGATGGCATGGCGACTGCATCCTATAAATATTGCTGCCCCGTATCTGTTGTTGTGTTTGATGATGGGTTCGAGCGGCAATCCGAAACGCCCTTGTTCCAGCGACCATATCTCCTTCTTCATGGTGGCTATTACTTGTGCCCACGGACACATCCTTGATTGTTCGTAGTTTCTGTGAGATCAGCTAGTGTGCGGACTGAACGAGATCGACCAACATTTCAAAAACAGAAAACGAGCGTCACGTGCCGGCTACCCATTTCAAGAAAATAATTCATAAAAGAAATTCAGACCGACGTGATAGTTCCCATCGTCAGAAAAATGTGATACATGAGGCAGCAAGAATCAAGGCAGAGAGAACCGAGTAGTTCCAATCAGACACATTTGCCTCACTTAGAGATCCACAGTCGGGGATAATTCCTCATCAAAAATTTCAGCTACCTCCTATAGCATTCGAACCGCTGTTTCGTGCATTGTCAGCGGCGAGCTCAGACCACTAGAGTCTGGACACCTTGTATGCCGAATTATGACGGCGGATGATTATGGAACGGCCATTTCAGTTCGCTCTGTCACGCTGACGAATTTCTTCATGCTCTTTCACTTAATCACGCTTGTGTGACCGATTTCGAGAGTTCTAGCTTAAGAAACATAGGTAAAACACAGAAAAGATTATTCGCCTTACCATCACCTATGAGAAATAGCACTAAACGGTAACACCCATTGTAGCCTATCACATCAGTCACGGTTCGAGCTCGTACTGGTAGGACGTTCCATGATCAGCTGACATGGACTCTGAATGGATTTGCCTGTATTCATGAATGCGTCTAAGCCAGTAATGGTCATTAAACTCCCCCAGGTATTTGGCCCTGATTGCTGACGCAGAACTCGGCGTTTGGTGACGAATGAATACCTGCGAGGACAGGATCTTGAGAACCAAAACAGAACCAGCGTACGCTGTGGACGATCCACGCCCGGCGTGAACTCATGTATGTGTTTCTGATCAGCGTTGGTGGTCAGAAATGTGATTGGATGAACGAGGACGAAATAAGCCTAAACATGTTCCTCAGGTGTCCTCACTACGAGAAAAAACACATTTTTAGCGTAACGAAGTGTTCGAGAGATTCGGGATTTTGAGGTCTCATCGGAACAAAGTAATTCCATATATTTTTTCTTTATGTTCATGCTGTGTCATGCATCGGCGTGCAAAACCTCAAAGCAAAACATTTTGGAGAAATTGGTTGGACAAATAATTAAGCTCAACTTAGTATCCTTCGTTCGCAGAGCAGTGCGTCTTTATTCGATTTAGATGGCTATTAACAGCACTCCGTCTGTTAGCAATAGGGTGGGTGCTCTCGATTTACAGACCGCCAAAATCCAGAGGAATGCGCCGTTTTCGGAACCGGGATGTGTT